AAAAAAAAAAAAAAAAAAAAAAAAAAAAAAAGGGTAATGTAAGTCTTTCCATGAACTTTTTGAAGTACCCCCATATATATTCTTTTTTTTTTTTTTTGTCCTTTTTTGAGACCGGCTGCACCGCGCTCAGCCAGTGAGCGCTGTGAGCGCACCAGCCATCCCTATATAGGATCCGAACCAGCGGCCTTGGTGTTATCAGCATCACACTTTCCTGAGTGAGCCACGGGCCAGCCCTATGTACTATGATATTTTGACTAGCTTTCTATTTTTATTCTTTTATTATTATTTTTTTTGTGGCTGGCAGGCACAGGGATTGAACTCTAGACCTTGGTGTTATCAGTACCGTACTCTAACCAACTGAGCTAACCAGCCAGCCCTAACTAGCCTTCTACTGTTGAACTATTGCGGTATTTCCTGTCTTTTACTCTTAGACATGAGGCTCTGATGAACAGCCTTTCACATATTTAATTTTTTTTTTTTTTGTCTCTATTGTGACCGGTAAGGGGATGCAACCCTTGGCTTGGTGTCACCCGCACCACGCTCAGCCGGTGAGCGCACCGGCCATCCTTATATAGGATCTGAACCCGTGGCGGGAGCGCCGCTGCACTCCCAAGCGCCGCACTCTCCCAAGTGCGCCACGGGGCCAGCCCCACATATTTAATTTTTTTATGAGCAGTTTAACTGGAGGATGAATTCCCAGAGACAGGACACCCAGTCAAGAGTGTGTACTTTTGTGATTTTAACACACGCTGCCGAATCACCTCTCCAAAAGGCTGTTCCGATGTACCTTCCACCCAAGCAGGGAAAGAGAGGGGCCACCAAACAGCCTTACCTCAGTGCCTTTCTCCCCTTTTTCTAGATGCAAGCTGCCCCTCTGGCTGCCCCTGCGGGCGCCCCCTCCAGGAAGAAGCGGTTGGAGTTGTATGATGACTTAGACATCGATTGTCCCACCCGGAAACGAGCTCGAAGTGAGCCCCAGCCGAGGCCGACGGCCTGCCTGCTGCCCCTGAGCCCACTGCCTGCTCCAGCCCATGAACCTGCTGTGGCCACTGCCTCCCGGCTTGGGCCCTATGTCCTCCTAGAGCCCGAGGAGGGTGGGCGGGCCTACCGGGCCCTGCACTGCCCCACAGGCATCGAGTACACCTGCAAGGTACGTCCCCAGGGCCACTCTCCCCCAGCATCATGAGGGGCCTGGAAAAAATCTTGGCTCCAGAGGATTGCCAGGGTACTGAGGGGTCCTTATATTCATTTATTCCTTTGTTAACTGGGGAAGCAGCCAGAGAGCCCTTGGCTGGGCTGAGACCAGAGGGGTATGCTATACATGGTCCCAGCAGTGGGGGAATTCACAGCTTAGGCCCTGTAGTGTGAGAAATGCTGCTAGAGTGGAGCTTAGGGACCAGGGGAACACCTCTAATGTATTTGAGGGGGTGTCAGAAAGGGCTGAGGAGGAGTTAGCCAGGTAGAAGTGGGAGAAGGGGATTCCAGGCAGGGGGAACAGCTACACAAAAGTGCTAAGGGAGTGAGCACAGGGCACTTCAGAGAATGAAAAGGACTTCGCTATGGCCAGAGTGGAGAGGGTATGCAGAAAGTGGCAGGAGATGAGGGTTGGCAGCAGCTGGTCGTGAAAGTGTTAGGAAGGGGCTGGCCAGGTTAACTCAGTTGGTTAGAGTGTAGTGTTGTAACATCAAGGTCAAGGGTTCAGATTTCCATATAGCAAGTGCCCCCCACCCAAAAAAGGAAGGAGCTTCTGCTGGGATGTGGGGAGCATCGAGGGTGTTTCCACAAGAAAAGGGTAAGTTATGGAAAGACATCAGAACTCCTGGAACCCTGGAGGTGATCATGCCTAACCTGTGGCCATTCTACAGATGGGAAGACTGAGGTTAAGAGAGGAGAAGGGCCAGGCATGAAGGCACATAGCATCAGGCCTGGCTCCTAGGATAAGGTAAGGGGTAGAGAAGTCTCAGAATTCTTGGCAGAAATCAGGAAACAGACAGGGCCAAAGCTCCCTAATGGTCAGCCCATGCAGGACATTGGCAGGTCTCAGCCCAAAAGGACAGAGATGAGAATAAAGTTTAACAATAGGTATTGACTGTGCACCAGGTACTATGTTGATTGCTTAGTGTGCACAATATCTTTCAATCTTTACACAGCCTATGAACCAATTACTATTATTGTGCCCATTTTACAGATAGAGGACACTGAGGCTCAGAAAGGTGTGGCTCAGAAGGTGTTAGAGCTGGGATTGGGCTCTGTAGGCTGAGCTCAGAGCCACATACCCAGTGCTAAGACAAGTGTTTCAGACACAGGCAAGGCAGGCAAAGGAAGATAGGGGAGACCTATATATACAAGGGACGAGCAGAAGGGGGCCTGGGTCCCCTTGGGAATTCGCAGTGAGGCAGAGGATCTTAAGCCTCCTACTGGGAGCAGCAGCAATTGGCTCCAGCTCCCGCTGATGGGAATGAAGTGGGCAGGGGAATAGATCCAGACATGGTCCAGCCACCAGCTTCAGTGCTCTACCCCAGGTGCTGTAAGGAACCCTGAACTCTGAGTCCCCTTTCTGCAGTGTCATAGTTTTCTGTTCCCACTGGGGAGGGGGCCCATGCTGGGAGACAGTCAAAGCAGGCTGGAAGCAGAAGCACCATGCTTTTGCAGGACCCCAATTCCTCAGAAACATTCAGGGAAGTCCACTGGGATGTGCTCATTCCCACACCAGTATGAACTGCTGGGGCTGAACTGTCATTTCCAGACTGCCTTGGCTTTTTTTTGTCAGTGTGTAGAAAGAGCACTATCCTGCCTCTTATCTGCTACCTTATTCATTAATTCAGCAAACCTTCATTGCACATCTGTATGTGCCATGTACCATGCTGTGGTCCTGCTCTCCTCAAGCTGACTTCCAGTGGGGATACGGACAATAAATAAAGAGTAAGTGAAATACATGACAGATGATCATAAGTGCGATAGATAAAAAGCTTGGAACAGGGAGAGAAGGGACATGGACAGCAGGGGTGCAGATGATTTTAGCCAGGGAGGTATAGGGAGACCTCTCTGAGGAGGTGACATTTGACCAGTGATTGGCATGACCTGAAGGAGCCAGCCCTGTGGGCGTCTAGGGGAAGGGCGTCTAGACAGCAGGTTCAGCAAGTGCAAATGCACAGAGGCAGGAAGTAGTCTCTTTTTGGGGGTTATTTCCTCCATGCTATCTCAACTGTTTTTTAAAGTCATACGCTTTACAGTGTTTTCATGGATCACATATGGATATAG